TGGGGAGTGATACTTGCTCACAGGTAAATCACTCAGCCTCTTGAGCGTAGGCAAATGCAGAGCTGGGATCACCCACTTGAGCAGTGAGTTCTAAGCCAGGCCCACGTGATGCAGTACATCTGGAGATGAAGTTATGATGTTTCTTCTAGTTTTGTCTCCTTGAACCCGTGTGGATAATTTGAGCCTTGGTTAGCCAGTCCATTATCTGGCATGAGTCCCCTGGTTGATAATGTCAGTGTTTTACCAAGAGCCTCACATTTCACACAAAAGCCTCAGGGCTAAAGGTTGAAACAGAAGCCGAGGGATCCGGTGGCCTGTCCAGGGTCTGTCAGCACTGGTCCAGGTGGCTCTAAAACTCGTCGCTGACCAGAAGGGAAGCCAGGGAGGCCTGGGTTTCTGCCAGGAGTGGGGACATGGTGCTTGCTGTGGAAGGTTCCTTACCACTGGCTCCTCTCCATTCTCTCCTGCAGGCATTAAAGACTACTCCAACTGGCCTACCATCCCACAGGTGTACCTCAATGGCGAGTTTGTGGGGGGCTGTGACATCCTTCTGCAGATGCACCAGAATGGGGATCTGGTGGAGGAACTGAAAAAGCTGGGGATCCGCTCTGCCCTGCTAGATGAGAAGAAAGACCAAGACTCGAAGTGAGGGCACCCGTTTTGCCAAGCGGGCCAGCCGCTGGAGTCACTGCCGGAAAAGCCTTATCTCTCTAGCTGCCTGTGCTGGTCCTCCCTGCTTGCGAGCAGGCAGCTGGTTTCATTTTGGTCTTTGGCTCTGAATAACCCATGGTGAACGTCCTTACAACCGCCACGACCAAGTGGGCCAGCCGCTGGAGTCACTGCCAGAAAAGCCTTATCTCTCTGGCTGCCTGTGCTGGTCCTCCCTGCTTGTGAGCAGGCAGCTGGTTTCACTTTGGTCTTTGGCTCTGAATAACCCATGGTGAACGTCCTTACAACCGCCACGCTGTAGCAAATCAGTGTTGTAATCCCGTATTGCTGTAACCAAAATTTGTTCCTATGTTGTTTCTTACTCAGGAGGCCTTCCTGGCTCTTGGACATGGGTCAGGCTGTAAAGATGGTATATTCCCCATATGTTTTGTAACTTCTGTTAAGGGAAATAATGGACAGACAGCTAGATAATGTGATGGCTGGAGTGTTGTTTTTTAAAAATAAACAGTCAACACAGACTGTGTGTGCAAGTCATTAATCCTGGTAAATATCCATCCGTGCATCTGTAGGACCTCCAGTACCCAGCCACCTTTCTCTCTCTCTCTCTCTAGAGAGAGAGAGAGAACGAGAACACCAGGCTGGTCTCCAACTCACAGTAGCCAAGATGAACTTGCACCTCTTTTCCTCATCTACTACCTTTCAAGTGCTGTGTCTCCATGGTGCTGAGAACGGAACCTAGGGCTGGGTATGTGTTACATGTTAGGGAAGACCCCTGCCCCCACCAAGTGAGCTACAGTCCTAGACCCAACCTGTGACCTTTCATTTGGGGTAATTAACAGTGAATCCTCATCCACTACCTTTCAAGTGCTGTGTCTCCATGGTGCTGAGAACGGAACTTAGGGCTGGGTATGTGTTACGTGTTAGGGAAGACCCCTGCCCCCACCAAGTGAGCTACAGTCCTAGACCCAACCTGTGACCTTTCATTTGGGGTAATTAACAGTGACGCTCAATCACTGTTAGCTGACTGCAGTTCTCCTGGAAGTGCTGGTGTTGTCAGTGTGTTCGTGAGCCAGGTGGGGGCTGTGTGAAAATGAGGGGCCGCTCACCTGCCCATCCTTGGCACCCATGTCTGCAGCTGGATGGGGAGAGAGCATCAACTAGCCCCTGGTGTTTGATAGGCATTTTATTTCTTATAAAATAATGTCTCGCTGGGCGAGGTAGCACACGCCTTTAATCCCAGCACTCAGGAGGCAGAGGCAGGTGAATCCCTGTGAGTTCAAAGCCAGCATAGTGAGTTCCAGGCCAGCTGGGGCTAGGAAGACCCTGTCTCAAAATAAATAAATAAAACGCTGTCTCACGAAAGAGGAAATAGCTGGAACTGTGTCTTTGTGACACTTCTCCAGAGCTGCTGCTCCATCCAGACACAGGTGACACAGGCTTCACAGTGATGGCCCTCATAGGAAGGAAATTCTGTTTCCTGGTGTGTCTGGCTGTGTAGGAAGCCAAGCTTAGAGCTCCAGCAGCCAGACAGAATTGCTCAGGGGTAGCAGAGGCAGGAGGAAGGCTCCCTTTTCCCATGAAAAGGGCTGGAGGGATAGGAAGCCTCCCCAGAAGGCTTGATCTTGTAGTCAGCTACCTTCCTGCTAGCAAAGGGGATGGGCCTCCCTGCAGACAGGATCTGCTGGGCTGTTGCTTTGCTGCCACCCCTCCCCCAAAGGTCTGGGGTTCCCCAGCAAGGGAAGGAGGACCTGCTGCCCACCCCACAGGGGCCAGACAGCCCCCACCAATTACCAACCTCAAGGTTGCCTACCCCATAGGGGCCAGACAGCCCCCACCAGTCACCAGCCTCAAGGCTGCAGGGAGAAGAGAAGCTTGTTGGTCTGAAGGCTCTTACTGCCTTCATTGCACAAACACACACCTCTTTTGTACCAGCAGCTAAGCCTGCCTGGAATCCTGGGCTTAAACACCATTGGAATCCTTTTGTTCTGCAGGCAAAGGAGGGGCCCTGGAAGGAAGGCTGTGTCCGTGGCTCACTGCTGTGGCCGTGACCGTGTCCTTTGGAAAGAACACCATTAACAAATCACTTTACTGTCTGTGCATGAATGCCGGGCTGTGGGTCGCACATAGCAGTCCGCAGCCTTTCCTTGTCCCTGCACCAGCTGTGGAGCCAGTGGCCCTTCCACTGTTACTGGTCTTGGTGTCTCCCTAGATCTGTCTGTATTTCCTTAGGGCTCATTTGGAAAAAAAATGAAATGATTAAAAAAAAATACTTATTAGCTGTGAAACAGCAAAGTAAGCATCCTCTCCAGAACATTAGCTAGGCTAGGGGACGCTGCCAAGGGAATGATCCCACTCGAAGCTTGTGAATCAGTGAGCCCTTATCAGTCACCAGAGAATGTGTAAGGTTAGAGTCACTGCAAGTGCAACACTTCTTCCAGAAGTTAATTAATAATATTTTCTATATGTTTAGCACGTCTTTACCAAGCAGAAAATTAAAGATGCTATCTCATGCAAGTCTGAATAGTTCAATGGTCTACATAATTCAAGCTCACTGTAAGGATTAAACAGTGCCCCGGAAGCTCCCTGGACAAACAACATCACATGGAGCCCTCTGAAGGAAAGGTCCCAGTTTTAAAAATCTGCATCTTCAAACCGAACTTTCAAGGCTGATGAGCTGGTTAGAACTTCAATGATTGTGGAGAGTTTGGAATGTTGCAGGTCCAGAACCTAACTACAATTTATCCTGGGCCATCTTTAATCCCTAAATAACCATCCTTTACCCACCTCTCTGTCTGATCTAACGTCCTGTGACCAACAGATTGAAAAGCTTTTGGACTAGTAACTTCACAAAACCTTAGCTTCTACCAACCGAAAGGCTAAGAGTATCAGACGGCACTAGGTCTACAGCAGAGTTCCCCTACGTTGCTATATCTTGCCTACTATCTTGATTTATGTCTGTCTTTGTTCTGTTACTATAAAAACTATGTGAAACTGTTACCAGGCTGGAACATAGGGTCACCTAAATCTGTGTTCCTGTGCTCTGGTCACTCTTATTTGGCTCCAGAATAAACTCTCTCTTATTCCCTTTGAGGCGAAGATTGTGCTTTTGTGTTGACAACTCTAAAAATACTAGATGGCTTCCCAGGTGTCTAGTGTGGCAGTCTGGCTTGTATCATTGTGAATGTGAGTATATTCGATTTTGGTCATGGATTCCAAATTAGGTGTTGTTACTCCTTTAGAAATCGATGAGGTTGGAGCTGGAGAGATGACTCAGTGGTTAAGAGCACTGGCTGCTCTTGCAGAGGACCAGGGTTCAGTTCCCAGCACACACATGGTGACTTACAACCATCTGTAACTCCTGTTCCAGGGGATCCGACGCCTTCTGACCTTTGCAGACATTGCATAACACAGGTGCACTTACATACATTCAGGCAAAACACCCATAAAAATAAAAAAATTAAAATTAAAAAAGAAATAGATGAAGCTATTTTGTAAGAGTGAACATTTTTTATTTCAGACAGTTTTTGTTAGCTTCATAGACTGGTGGTTATATACATGACATTATGCTTCCTTTAAACCATGTTTTGGGGCTATTTTTTTTGTTTGTTTTGGGATTATTTTAGGATACAAGGTAACTACATATTTTGGTGGGACTTGAACCCAGGGCCTCCTGCATGCTAAGCCTATGCTCTAACACTGAGCTGTACCCTTAGCTTTTATTAGCCCTATTGAATTTACTTATGTAGATTTGGGCCTGAAGCTTTTCTGTGGTTATTAAAGCCTGTTAACAAGCAGCTAGTGAGAAGCCCCATTACCCTTGCTAAATAGTATACTGAGGTATGCAGGGTTGAATTGGATCTTGAGAAATCAAGTTCTGCTATGGCTTGAATGTGAAATGTGTCCCAGAGGCTCATGTTTTTCAGCACCTGGACTACAGCTGTTTGAAAGGTGATGGCGTCTCACTGGAGGAAGTGGGTCACTGGGGGATGGGCTTTGAGGTGTCAGAGCCTGGCCTTACTTCCTGCTCACTCTCTGGTTCCTGAGTAAAGATGCAATGTGACCAGCCAGCCTCCTGCTTCTGCCCCTAAGCCTCTGCCACCTGCTGCTTCTCTTTCCCACCATGGTATCCCTCTGGACCTGTAAGCCGAAATTAACCCTTTCTCCCTCCTGTCTTTTGCTTCCCTGTTGCTGTGACAAAACATTGACTAAAAGCAGCTTGAGGGGAGGGAAGGATTTATTGGGCTCATGGGTCACAGTCCATCACCAAAGCCATGGCGGGACTGAAACAAAGCACAGAAGGCTGCTCACTGGCTTGATTCCCTGGGCTTCCTCAGCTACCTTTTTAAAAAAATATTTTATTTATTAATTCTATTTTCTGTGTATGAGTGTATTGCCTGCTTGTGTATAAGTGCACCTGTGTTGTGCAATGCCCAAAAGGTCAGAAGAGGGTGTTCAGATCCCCTGGAACTGGAGTTACAGACGATTGTTAGCTGCCATGTGGGTGCTGGGAATCAAACCCAGGTCCTCTGGAAGAGCAGCCAGTGCTCTTAACCACCAAACCATCTCTCCAGCTCCTTGGCTACCTTTCTTATACAACCCAGGTCTGCCTGCCTGCCTAGGGATGGTACTGCCCACAGTGGACTGGGTCCTTGTACATCAATTAGCAATCAAGAAAATGCCCCATTGATATGGTCACAAGCCAGTCAGTCTGATGGAGGCAGTTCCTCAGTTGGGATTCTTTTTCCCAGGTGTGTCTAGGTTTGTGTCAAGATGACAAAAACTAACCAGCACAATCTCAAGTTGCTTTTGCCAGAGTATTTTTATCATAGCAACAGGAAAAGAAACCAAGACTGGTCCCTGTCTGTTGTAGGAGAGATTGTGTTAGGGAAGGAATGATCTCTGTTGGCAGAACTTTGTTAAAATCTCAGTCTGAGGTAAGAACGCATTTCATATGTTTGTTCCTGAATCACTGAGGGAAAAGAGCTATGCAGGGTTGCATGAAAAGCTGATTTGTTTTTATAAAAGTTAAAAATAATAGATTTAATATCCCATTTAAGAATTGTCTAGAGGGGCTGGAGAGATGGCTCAGCGGTTAAGGGCACCGACTGCTCTTGCAGAGGACCCTGGTTCGATTCCCAGCACCCACATGGCAGCTACGAACTGGCCTTAACTCCAGTTCCAGGGGAATCTGAAGCCACTTCTGACCTCTGTGGCATCGCCTGACACGGGTGCACTCACATACATGCAGGCAATACACTCATACACATAAGAAAAAAGATTGTCTAGAACATATGAAAAATAACTCACAAACTACACAGCAGCAGATTTGAGGGTAATTTGGGGGTGAACTGGTGCAAGGCTTGACCCTTACACAGTTGCACAGTGACCACCGGATGTGCCCAGAGTCGCGTTCCCATCTCATGTCCCCAGAACAGCGTCACTAGGTCTCAAGCCTTGTGGGCGTTTTGCCATTTGTGAGTCAAAAGGGAAATGTTTTTTCTCATCAGTTGCTCCAGGA